CAGAGCAGTGCCTGTGGGGTTCTTTTGACACGTTGGTCACACGACATTGTTGGCTCCTTAGCACCTCTGTTCCCCTACTCTAGAGGAGAGGTTCTCAACCTGTGGGATACAAAGGGGTCAAGTGACCCTTTTACTGGGGTTGCCTGGAGCCATCAGAAAGCACAAATGTTTACATTATGATTCACACCAGCAGCAAAATTACAGTCACGAAGTAGCAATGAAATAAATTTATACTTGGGGGTCACTACAACATAAAGAGCCATGTTAGAGGGTCACAGCATTAGGAAGGGTGAGAAGCACTGCTCCAGATGTGTGCTTTTGGGCTTCTACCTTACTGGCCTCTGCTTCAATGTCACCTCTTTATCATGTCCTCTACCTCTAGTCTGTCTAATGCCCATTTTCAGCCAATCCCTACCCTATATAAACCTTCAGAGCTCTCCACCGTCTTCATGTTACTGATAATGATTTATAGCTACTTATTGACTTTATTATGTGTCTAACCCCCATTCAGCTGTGAGCGCCTCTGATCAGTCTAGGAGACAGTTACATGTCCCAACGTCTTGTCTGGAAGGAAAAAAAAAAAAAAGTCTAAAGTAAAGTCATAGAGCTGAAAAGGCAAAGAGACCTACAGTGTTCAACTGTTTCTCTTTGCTATGATAAAATACCTGAGAAAACCAGGGAGAAGGGATTGGTTTTGGCTCATGGGTTCAGGCAGTTCAGAGCATGCACGTGGTCTCCGTTGCTTTTATGTCTGTCCTGAGGCAGAAACTGCATAGGAAAAAGAAGAAACAAAAGGGGAACGGCAGTCCCTCTTCCCATTACTATATAACCCACTTGGACACTAAACTGCCATGGGCTACATCTGTGCAGGGGTTCTAGGTTATCTCCATGCATGGTACTTGGTTGGAGTATGAGTCTCTGGGAAGACCTCTGTGTTCAAATTTCTGGTTCTGTTGCTTTCCTTGTGGAGTTTCTGTCCTCTCCAGATCTTACTGTTTCCCACTGCTTACATAAGATTCCATGCAAGTGGGTTACATAGTAATGGGAAGAGGGACTGCCTCTGACATGAACTGATTGGCCTGCTCTTTGATCACCTCCCACTGAGGGGGGAGCAGCCTTACCAGGCCACAGAAGATGACAATGCAGCCACTCCTGATGAGATCTGGTAGACTTAGATCAGAAGGAAGGAGAGGAGGACCTCCCCTATCAGTGGACTTGGGGAGGGGCATGTGTGAAGAAGGGGGAGGGACGGTGGGATTGGGAGGGGAGGAGGGAGGCTCTTATGGGGGAATACAAAGTGAATAAAGTGTAATTAATAAAAAAATTTAAAAAGGGGGGGAACGGGACAAGATATACTGTTTGAAGCCCCCCATTCCCCGTCACCCAATTCCTCCAACTAAGCCCATTTAGTATGAATTCATCAGTGAATGAACACGGTGATAAAGTTAGCACTGTCTTGCTGTGGTTGCCTTCAGCAGCCTCAGGTGTGGAGCAAGCCTTGGGGGGAATGCCTTATTTATTTACTCTTGAGACCAGGGTCTCACTGTGCGTGACCCTGGCTGATCTGGAACTCACCTCACCCTTGAACTCCACCAGCCTCTGCCTGCCAAATGCTTGGATGAAGGGTGTGTGGCATCACACCTGGCTGGAAGCCCTTTAAAGAACTTCGTGTCTCACCACTGAGCCAAGCCCTTTGTTTTTGTTCTAGTTGCATTATTCTTGCTATGACAAAACACCCTGACACAAAAATAACTCTGAGGGGGGAAAGGAGTTATTTTTCTTAAAAAGTCCAAGTGAAGCCAAAAGCCGTGGTGCACGCCTTTAAGCCCAGCACTCGGGAGGCGGAGACAGGCTGGTCTACAAAGAGAGGCCGGGACAGCCAAGGCTACACAGAGAAACCCTGTCTGGGGCCAGCAGTAGTCCAAGTGACAGTCCATCACTGCTAGGAAGTCAAGGCAGGAACCTGAAAGCAGCTAATCGCAGTCAAGAGCAGAGGGAAACCAATACATGCACATTTGCAGTGCTCAGCTCACCCTCTACACTTTCCTCCTCTAGGATCCAACCCCAGGGGACGGTGCCACTCACAACGGGCAGACCTTCCCACCTCAATTAAGACGATCAAGACCACTCCTCAAAGACATACCCATGGGCCAACCCGAGCTAGACGATTCCGCCTCTTTGAGACTCTCTTCCAAGGTGGCTCTGTAGAGTGAGTGGACAATTAAAACCAGTCACATCATTTTCACTTAGTTGTCACGGATCATAGGCAAGCCAGGCAGGAGTAACCTCAGTTACTCAGTTTTAACCTCAGCACTTGGGAGGCAGAGGCATCTCTGAGTTTGAGTCTAGCCTGGTCTACATAACAAGTTCCAGGATGGTCAGAGCTAGATGATGGGACCCTGTCTGAAAAAACCAGTGAGGTGGCAGATCGCCACACATCACACACCCCGCCAAGATGAAGGGAACTTTCGAATAGGGTTTGTTGTTTGTTTCCAGCCTACTCCACCCAGCCACCTAGGGGAGGCAGGTTATTTGGGTGTAAACCACGCCCCTACATCTTTCTTGCTGGGTGCTTTGTAAAATTCATTTGCTTTGCTCGCCTTTGCGTGGCTAAATTTCTGAGGACTCGGGGTCAGACCTGTGTAAAGGTAAAGAGCATCCCCCTCCCAGCATCTCTAGCGGTTGGGCTGGAGTTTAATTTCAGCTTCTGGGTACCATGGCGATGGAGTGCTATAAATACCCTGGGGACTTGCAGCCAGCCTGCTTGTTACTGCACTCGCTCGCGTGCCACCCCCATTTCCCACCAGGACTCCGCTGGAGCTGCTGGGGTAGGAGTGGAAGAGAGCACGCCTGCGCTTTGTGAGCCAGTTCCCGCCCTCTGCTCGCAGGCTTGCTTTCTCCTTGCACACCCCCACCCTTGAAACCGCGATTTCATCTCCACCTCCTACAGTGCATAATTCATTTCCTCCCTGGTGAAAGACACAACAGCTCCCAGGCCCCAGAGGACTCTTTGATGAGAGAGTTGAAAATAGGATGGACACAACCTGTCCTGCCAGCTCCAGGATAGCCACTGGTGTGGGAGAAATCCAGTTCAGTTAATGAGTAAAGCAGGAAGAACAGGAGCTGGGCACCATAGAGACAGGAGGGGGAGGGGGAGAGGGGTAAAGGCGGAGGGAGGGGGAGGAGAGGGGAAGAGAGAGAGATAACCTGCTTCTCCACTCGTTAATTCCCTGCTTTCTGCCCCTCTGCCCCTAAAGTGGGTCTTGGTGACAGCTCTGAGCAGGTGGAGGAGGAGGAGTATAACCCCAGCTTGGAATTCAGAGCCCTCAGCTCTCACAGGCTCTGCTATAGTCTGACTTCACCTGCTCTCCTAAACCTCCAGAGCTTCCTCCCATCCCTCCAAATTGACACACAACCAAATAAAAGCAGGAGTTCAAGGGTTGCCCGGGCTGGAAACACTACCTTAGTCTTTACAACCAGACCGTGGCCCTGAAGTTTCTCTCCTCTAGGCTTCTGGCTCTGTTGGGAAGCCAGGAATGAAAATCTACTGCAGAGATGGAGATGGAGCTCAACTGAGACATGAAACCCTACCAGGGACACTACAGAAACTGGGTGTGATAGTACACACGCCTGTAATCCCCCCATTCAGGAAGTGCTTGCAGGCAGGGTCTTCCTCACAAAGTGAATCTGAAGCCAGCCTGGGCTACATGAGATCTCATCTTTATTTTATTAATAAAATAAAATAACTCACTGGAAGCCAACTTTTGGAACCTGGACCCTATTAGTACAAAGTCGTTTTGCCTTTCGGAGTCTCGGTTCCATTCTCTGGAATAAGAATAAGGGATAGATTCATTAGGCACAGAAGCTTTCTCTTTTGGAAAAGGAGGAAGCTATCTTAGACTCCATCCAATTTGTTTCACACACTGTCTTAAGCACTGAGGACCCGGAGGTAAATTAGCTGCCGGGACTCTCCTGTTGCCAAGGTTTCCTTTACCCAGACTTTCCCTCTGACCTAAAATTTATTTTCTCATCATTGAAACCACCAATCCAGGGTACAATTATGAATCTCAAGGAATGCATGACTGAAGAAAGGAGGCATTATTGGCTCAGTCACAGAGCATAACAGCGTGTATTCTCCAGGACATGTGGGTTGGTCAACATGAGGTAGGAAGGTATAGTCACTGAGTGGGAAGACAAGTCCCAGGAGAGAGTCTCCAAGCCTCCAGCCCCCTTAAAGCACACAGATACCATCTGGAAACCACTTCTGATATAGCTGTCCTCTCTGTCTGTCTGTCTGCCTGCCTCTGTCTCTCTCTGTCTCTCCATCATTCCCCCTCTCTAAGAGTTACTTTATTATTTTTTTTAATTGTGTGTATATGTGCATGTGATCATGCGTGCCTCCAGAACGGAAGTGTCGGATCCCCCTGGAGCAGGAGGTATGGTTATGAGCTGCCAGATGTGGATTCTTGGAATGGAATCTCTGTCCTATTGGAAAGCAGTGTATGTCCTTCCCCCGTGAGCATCTCCCCCACCCCTCTCTTTTTCCCCTCTTTTTTCTTTCCCCGCTTAATTTCCCCTCCTCGTTCTCATGAAATGTTATGCTATCTTTCAAGAAATGTGTGGAAAATGGCCTTTATTTGTTTCAGTGAGCACTGACTTCAAATCCAAGACAACCTGTGTTGGTGTCTCCCGTGAGACACCCAACATGAAAGCAAATGCAGACGTGTAGCTGGTAGTCCCCTCTGCTTAGCCCCAACCATAGCCACACTCTTGAACTCAGCACATTGTTAAGTCAGAGAGTCCCAAGAGGATGGCCAGGAAGGCTGCCTGTCTTCGGTTTGGATTCCTGTGGTTCAGTCACCTGTAGAATACCAACCAACTGAACCTATCACCAGGCTCAGCAGGTTTTACCTCTAATCTCCTGCATGCTTGCCCTGGGCTGCCGAATGCCTGGAGATGATTCACCCAGCATTTCAGGGGGGCAGGCCACCATCTGTAGATTACATCACCCCCAGGTTTGTAGCTTCTGGAAGATAACCCAGGGTTCCTTTTGTTACAGGCAGAAAGGCAATTCCTGCTTCCAAGGCCTGGTATAAAAGTGAAGAGGAGCAAGACACATAGGAAAATGACAGGCTGTGAGCATCTGGTATACAGCTCATCCATGGAGGAAGCTTGGGAAATACACACACACACACACACACACACACACACACACACACACCAATTAGGCTTATCATAAGCAGCCATGCATACTTCTCAGGAAGGAAAGGATGTGTTTACATTGTTTTTGTTTGTTTTAGTAAAAAAAAAAACAGTTCAGTTGACCCACGCTTCATATAGAAATGTGCTGGTTGGGGCTGGTTAGATTGCTCAGCAGTTATAAAAACACTGGCTGCTCTTCAAGAGGACCCAAATTCAATCTCCAGCACCTACATGGCAACACCCAACTGTCTATTTTTCCATTTCCTGGGATTCAACATCCTTACACACATAAACATGCAGGCAAAACACCAACGTATATAAAATAAAAATAAATAAATAATTTTTTTAAAATAGGAGTGTGCTGGTCATCAGCCAGGGTACTCCAAGTGAGGTTCCTGGGGTAAAGGCTTAGCTTGTGCCCTTATTTTTCTCACTTCACTTTACTCTTCCTAACCAGCCAGAAAGACTTTAAATTATTAAATTATTTTTTCCAGAGGGAGAGGCAGCCTGGGCTCAATAAAAAGACTCTAAAAATATTTCAAACCCAAACAAAACTACAAGGAAGGATGAATGGTTGACCAATAGTAGTTTCACTGGTGCCAGAATGATTGTGTATCTTAGCTCTATCCCTGGCCATCTTGGAGTCTCAGTTTCTTCATCTCCAAAATGAGTATAACTATAGACCACCCTGTTCCAGTGCTTTGTCATGAAGATGAACTGAGATCATACATGAAAGCAAGAGCCCCATGTCACCTTCACTTTGGGAATGTTGGAAATGGTGGGCTCATGCTTGTAATCTCAACACTTGGGAAGCAGACACAGACGTGGGGAGGGAAGATAAGCATCGTTCAAGGACAGTTTGAGCTGTGTAGTGAGGTCCTGGACAGCCAGAGCTATATCGCAAAGGCAAAAATCCTCAAAACAAATTGGATGGTTTTCTGGGGGGTACAGTTCAGCGATAGGTTGCTTGCCTGGCAAGTGTGATGCCCTGGGTTTGATCCCCGAGAGCACAGAAAACAAAAAAGTATCTATAATAGTGAGGGCTTTGGCTCATCAGAGGAAGGGTAGAAAACTCCAGCTCTTGGGTGGTGAAGACCTCCCTGAGGTCTGAGATCCCTAGCTTTGAAGCTTAGTATTTATAGAGTGAGGAAGAGGAGGAAGGGCTACAGGAATCCCGTAGGTCAGTCCTCAGGGCATTTAAGCATGGGGAGCCCCACCCTGAAAGGCCTTGTCTATCAAAAGGAGCTGAAGCCTAAACAGGGGATCCCCACACAGCACAGGCAATTGACTGGTACTCCCCAAATTAGGGAATTCTGACAAGGCACTGGACCTCATTCTACCAGTGCAGCTTCCTGCCTCAGGCTTACTTAAATTCACACCAGACCTAAGAGGGAACAGACAGGGCAAAGCCAGAGGAACCTTGGCTAGATGACTTCATCTTCTTGTTTTAATTTAATTCAGTATTTTCAGTTTCTGAAGACATTTATCTATTCTTGCTATAGGGTTTGTTATTCATCCTTCCTTCCTTCCTTCCTTCCTTCCTTCCTTCCTTCCTTCCTTCCTTCCTTCCTTCTTTCCTTCCTTCCATTCTTCTTTCCTTTCTTCCTTCTCTCCTCTTCCTCCTCCTCCTGTGTTTACTCTTTTGACTCAGACCAGAACTTTTTTGATTCAAGCAATCCTCCTGCCTCAGCCTCTTGAGTAGCCAAGAGACAGGTGCACTTCACTATGACTGGCAAAATATGTCCTTCCTTCTCCTCCCCTGTCACCAGCTGGAAGTCCTCTTCGGAAGCAGATCCATAGCATCCCTAATTTTAGGGACCCAAAGGAAAGCTAGCTACATTTGCAAATTACGAAGGGGAGGGTGGGAACAACGCGGGGAGAATTGAATAGGAGGGAGACAGATGGTGTGAGTGCTGGGGGGAGGGACGAGAGATCCTGGAAAACTTATGTTCGACCGATTTGCAAGAATGTTTTCACTTAACCACTTCTTGCCTGACTCCTGAGTCTACACCACAGAAAACAGGGTGTGTCAAAATTTGGGGCCACATGTGCCAAGAGCCTAAACACTCTGTGTGGAGTGAACCTCGCCTCCTGGGGCAGAGCCCGGGTGGTCAATGATCGGGACTGTCCCACGAGGGGGCGCGTCTCGGGCTCTAGGACCCGCCCTCTCCGCTCTGGGCGCGGGGAGGAGACCCGGGAACCCCGGAGCCCGGCGCTCCGCCTCCCGTTTCCGGGGCAGCGCAGTTACCTGCACCACCGGAGCCACACCTGGCGGAGGCAGAAGTCTCGGGGCGCGCGGCGGGGTGCCGGCAGTGGCCGCTTGAGGTGGCGGCGTGGAGCGCGTTGAGCGGCGGCGGAGGCAGGCGGCAGGCGGCGGCTCGCGGCCGGGCTGGCCGCACACTAGGGCCGGCTGGGCGCCGCGGCGGGCGCACATGGCAGCGTGAGAGGCGAGCAGCGAGGGGCTGGGGCCGCAGGCCCGCATGGACAGCGGCGCCACTCCGGCCGGACCCCGTTAGGGCCCCCGATCCACGGGCGCCACCCCCTGATCATGCTGCCTCGGCGGCCGCCTGGACCCAAAGCGGCCGGCCCGAGCCGCTGAGCCCCGTGGCGGCCGCGAGCTGCATGGGGGAGCGCGGGCCGTGCTCGGGAAGATGCCCCGGCCGGAGTTGCCCCTGCCGGAGGGCTGGGAGGAGGCGCGCGACTTCGATGGCAAGGTCTACTACATAGACCACAGGAACCGCACCACCAGCTGGATCGACCCGCGGGACAGGTAGGACCCGGGGAGCGCTGACCCGGACCCGGCACCGCGCCTGGGCCGCACTTGCCCTTGGAGTGCAGCGGGATTCTGCATGCCTCTTCCCAGGTCTTAGTTTGTCCCTCTCCACATCCTCGCCCCTTCCTGAACTGCACTTCTGCCCTAAGAACTAGGGGCGGGGGTGGGGGCAAGCGGGCCGCCCGCAGCCAGTTCCAGGTGGAGGACTTAGGCCCCAGTGGCACCTGCCCAGGGTTTTGACCTTAAGCTTTAGCGGGGTCCCTGACCCCTTTAGGAAGAGAGCTCTGGCCAGGGTGAAGGCAGAGACCTAGCCAGGGGAAGCGAATCTTCCCTGGGTACTCCCTTGGCTGAGAGGGGATGGTTTTGGCCCGGAGGGGTGGTAGGGAACCCTGGGGGACTACCGGAGGAAGGATATTCTGCTTGGCGAAGAGAAAGCAGCTTTTTGACAGGTGCTTCTTTGGCTGCTGAGAAAAGCTTTGGAGCAAGTCTAGGGAAGCCGGAGGTGGGAGGGGAAAGAGAGAGCGGGGGAGGGCAGAAGAGGGAGACTGGTTCTCCAGGAATCTCACAGCAAGTTGGAAGCTGTTAGGATACAGATAGAGGTGAGAGGCCTCTGGCAAAGCTCTGCCTATAGCCTCTTCTCCCTTTCTTCCTTCTGGGGCCAGAGGCTCCTCAGCTAGTTCTGACCTTGGTGGGCACCTGGCTGGGTGTAGCTCGAGCTTTTATCGAGGCAGGTAGAGTTTTATCATTCCAGACTCTTTCCCACTTTCGGCTACTTACACCTGGCCCATGTCTGCCCTGGGAGGAGGGGAGGCGTCCTTTGCTGATACGGTGTGTGGTCAGAGTGTCCCAGGAATGTTGGATTTTCTCCTGGTGTGTGACCTTGGGGTTAGGTGCCGGTAGAGCCACTCAGGTTAATTTTTTGGACCCTTCACCTTAGGGGGTTCAGATGAGGGGGATCTGAGAAGACCGGAATAGGGTGTATAGCAAGATGGGGGTTAAAGAAAAGGAAAAGAAAAGCAGAAAGCAATGAGTTCAATTTCTCTTGAGTACATCCATTCATTTATTCATCCATCCATCCATCATCTCATGAGTGCCTACTCTTTTAGTCTTCTTCGTGTAATTTGAAAGAGAAAAATACTGTGGAGTGTTAGGCAGCCTGCTTTAGTCTTTGGGCCTCAGTGTCCCTTTCTGTCTGATTAATGGTTTGTTTGGAAGGGAAGAAATAATAATAGGAACTCAAAAGAGAGAAAGACAGGACAGCCAGGGCTACATAGTAAGACCCTGTCTCTCTCTCTCTCTCTCTCTCTCTCTCTCTGTCTCTCTCTCTCTCTCTCTCTCTCTCTCTCTCTCACACACACACACACACACACACAAATTGGAAAGAAAACAAGTTAGAAAATGCAAGCCCAGTTCCTCCTCACATGCTCCCCGCCCCACACCGTGGTATTTAATAATGGTGTGTGTTTGTGCTTGTATGTGAGTTGATTTGCGCCTTCCACTGGTAGTCAAACTCAGATGTCAGGCTCCACAGGAAATGCCTTTACTCACTGAACCATCCCACCATCTCCCAACTCCGATTGGCCCTCATTTGTTTATTTGTTTGTTTATTGTTTTTTCCCTTTTTTGTGTGTGTTTTGAAATAAGCCTTGGCTGTCCTGGAACTCTGCCTGCCTCTGCCTTCAGAGGGCTGGGATTGAAAATGCCTGCCACTGCACCCAGCCCATTTCCCCATTTTCAATCGAAAGAGAAAATCTGAAACCCAGGGGTGTGACCTGCTCCGGTGTTTTGCTCCTTCCACTTGCTGTATTGTCATTCCCTTCAGACTTTGTCACCTCCGGCTAGTCTTGTCTCATTCTTCCCCGCACCTCTCAGATCAAGGTACCCCCAGAGGGGTCTCTAACTGTGTTGATGAGCTTGGCACCCGCCTTCCACTTGTCTTCCACTTAGAACAACTTCAGGCCTATGTGTTACCTACATCATACGTCCCTGTAGCTGAGCCCAGTGTGCTGGTAGCCGTGGGGTGTCATGTTCGTGAGTGAGGACCACCCTGCCAGCCCTGCTGATCATGTACCTGTAAGAATCATACGGCATAGGAGAAAACTTCTCAAAAATACCAGTAATCTGGTGCTCTTGGAAGAGGGGAAGTGGATAGCTTCCCAAGAACTGGTTCGACTAGAAGATAGTAAGCCAAGTTGTAGCGCCGTGTACCACATTCATAACTTTTTGGTCTGTCTACCTGAACTGTTGCTTAATACTTGACTTTACATTAACTCACTTAAAATGTTTCGTTTCATTTTCACAAATGGGAAACCATTAATATCTATTGCCAATAATAGGAGAGAATCTTGGTTTTGGTTTCTTTGTTTCTTTTCTTTTTTCTTTTTTTTTCTTTTTTTTTTTTTTTTTTTCCGAAACATGGTTTCTCTGTGTAGCCTTGGCTGTCCTGGACTTGCTTTGTAAACCAGGCTGGCCTCAAACTCACAGTGATCCACCTGCCCCTGCCTCTCTGAGTGCTGGGATTACAGGCTAAAAAGAATCTTTAAAAAAATCTAAAATTCTACTTTGATTGGATACTATGTCTCACGTTCTGCACCAGGCCAGGCCCAAGCAGCCTCTGGTTTTGGGTGGATTGGCTTGGGGAGAAGTCAACGCCATGACAGCTGCTCACATTGTTTATTTTGTGCCTCCTGTTCATCCCACCTGCACTGGGTTTTGATCTTGGAGTCAGGGCTAGGGATCACTCTTGTAGCCAGCTCTGAGAATTTCAGATGGAGATTCACAGAGGATGTTTGCTTCTCCATCTTTGGAACCTTTTGTATACCAGGTTAGGGGTTCTGCCTTTCAACCCTGCCTGTGCGGACAGGGGCTCACTGTTTAACCTCTGTGAGGTTTGAGTGCCCCAGAGTAATGTAAAGAGTTGGCTAAGTGATCTCCACTGGGCTTCCAGCTCTATGATTTCACTCTGCCTGTCTCTCCTTACCCTGGCTGATTATGAGCAGGGGCTATGATAGGGATAGCCTGGGAGCATAAGCAGGGGGGCAATTTAACAAAGCTGACAAGGGCTGAACTTTTTTGTGAGGGGTTAGGGAGAGGAAGTAAATTCTCCCAGAGTAGTGAGTTACATCTCTACATCTAGTTAACGGTGTGAAACAAACATATGAAAAACACATTTGAGAAAATTCCACTCCTGCAGAGTGTGTGTATCTGAGCAATGCATCACAGCCATGCCCGCCCATTCCCCTGAATTTCAAAGAAGTAAGTCAAATGGTCCTTCAGTTGGAAAAGGGATTTCTCAGCCACCAAGGACAAAATAGTGTCTCCAGTTACCAACCCTAAAGAATGTCTTGGCACATTCCACCCCCTGGGACTAAGCTGTTTTGTGTGCTGTCCATGGAGCTGCTGGGGGTAGAGAATCCAGTTTTCAGCTCCCCCTTTCACCAGGGGGGTGGAAGAGCAGCCAAGCAGCCAGCTTTGCCAACTCTCTCCCCTTTTCACCCAGTGAAGACCGGGAGGCTGGAATTCCTGAGGACGGTTGTCCCAACAACGGGAGAGGGTCCAGTGGGCAGCTTGGACCCTGCCCACTGGGCCAAAGGCTGCAGTAGCACCCAGGCTTTACCCAAGTCAAGGCCAGTCAGGGGAGGAGGGTCCCTAGAGAACCGGTTGCTGCAGGTCATACCTGAACACCCCCTTAGAGCTGAGTGCTTTTTTTTTTTGCAGCTGAACATAGGTGCTTCTGGAAGCTGCCTTCGAAGAAGCAGCCCCCTGCCCGTGTTGAGCTTCGTGCGATGTAAAAACAAATGCACCAATTGTTCCCTGAGGAAGAATGGGTCTTGGGGACTGGTTCTACAGAGAAGATTCCTGCTCCCTGGCTTTGAGTTCAGGCTTCTCAGGAACTCACCGGGCACTCTGAGCATTTTCTGGGTTCCAGTAACAAGTCCCGGAGACCCCCTTAGGTCAGGACTCAGCTATCTCCCCTACTGTCATCAAACAGCCAATGTTTGTCAACCTATTAAGAAATAATCTTTGTTTTAGGAACTTGAGTCTACAGCAGTTGAAGGCCTTCACTTTCTAGGCCCTGTTAGTCTGGTGGAAGAGAAGACTCTTTCCCAAGCGCAAACGAGGTCTTCTGCACATAACTCCCGGGACCAATGAACTCCAGGCGCATAACTCCTGCCATAGACACACTTGCAAAGTGCTTGTCACCCTCTCTGAGTACTCCCTTTGGTGGAGGAAAGATAATGGTTGAGCTTTTTCTGTATTCAAGAGGTCTGCTGAGAGAGAGCTTTACATGGGTTGTTAGTTCTGTAACTAATAGACTTGGAACTTGAGGTTCTGGGAGACTAAATGCAGTGAAGCCACACAACTTTATTTACTTACTAGTTTGAATAGCATTGGGGATTGAACCTCAGGCCTCAGGCTTTACCACTGGGCTGCTGCTTGAGGCAGAGTCACCCAACTTTTGCAAAACTATATGAATGTTAGGTTGAACCTAGGCAGAACCTGCATTTCCTACTTATGTTTGTTTATATTTTATATTGGAATTGTTTTGCCTGCATGTCTGTCTGTATGAGGGTGTTGGTTCCCCTGTAACAAACAGTTGTGAACTGCCATTTAGGTACTGGGAATTGAACCTGCGTCCTCTGGAAGAACAGCTAGTGCTCTAAACCTCTGAGCCACCTCTCCAGCCTCTTCTGCATGTCTGTCTCGCT